TTAAATGAAGATTTCAGCATTCTTTTACTAAAGTGGTTAGCTCCTATTAACAAAGCCAGAAAGTGAGGTACTGGGAGTTAAGTGACATGACCAGGGTCTAGTACTACTTATAGACCATGGTACCTCTGTATTGTCTGCTTGCGACTCAGGCAGTCGCTGAGAAATGTGACTGGCTGGTATTTGGAAATTTACTACGTTTAATATTGGGATGTGCTCTCTTTCTTTTTTTACATTCCTTTTGGCCAAGGGAAAGTTACAATTTTGAAGACTGCAAACTTGTAGGCATTTGCTGCTAATTATGATTATGTTTTTCATTCTAACAGATATATCTAGAAACAAAATCTCGCCGTTTCTCCCCCCAAGCAGAAATCGTTGCATGTTTCTAGGTGGTTGAACTGCCATAGGCCCCTAAAACAAGACTTGGGGAAAAAAAATCCTGTTCCCATTTGGAGTGTAAGAAACAAAATGAGTTTGAGCAGGAGAATAAGTGGGCCAAATTGGTATGAATTCATCACTTAGGGTTTTTTTTCTGGCTCAGCACAATCTTCTCCATGTTCATTTGATTGACCGTTGGAAACATTTAATGGTTTCTAACATAGGTGTCATTTCAAAGAATGAAATCTTTCTGTAGAATTGCCTGATGAATGTTAACTATGTGCTCAGTCTAGTTGTATTTGAAAATAAAACCTATCTGGTGATTTTAAAGACCCAAAAATTTGAAGGAAAGGAGGAAATAAGCTTTCAGAATGATTAAGTGAATTAGAAATTAATATACACCCCAAGCTAATCTCTCTAGTATGAACTCCACTGAAAAAAATCTTCCTAGACAGGAAATGCCAGTCATGGGAACTAAAGTAGAGATTCATGCTGATATTGGACAGAGGACATGTCGGGTTTTTGAAATCAATCTCCTCTTTGCTGGATCATTTCTCTTGTACTCCTAAGAGGCTACATTTTATACAGCTATGTCAACCACCAAGCCCCATGACTTTGCTAATAAGGAACTCGAAGAATGTTTCAGTGTTCCCAGAAAATGTTCTCTCTGTGTTAGTCTTTGTTTGTACTGGAGCACTTTGAAGACTAAAATTTGAACTTCAACATACTTGATACATTTTAACAGCATTTAAATTCAAACCGGGCCAATGATTTTTTTTTTTTTGCTCCTTCTAACAACTTCTGGCTTTAAATGTGACTCTTTTGGGGATTAAAACACAGAGGCGCATTTTATTAAAAATTATTTGTTGGATGTGAGTCACCGCTAAGCATAGGTCAGAATTACAGCTATCTAGTGGCATAGACTGAAGAATGTTTCTCTTTTACGTACACAATTAAAGGAAACTTCTTGAACCTCGCTCAGGAGTTCCAAAGTTAGGATTCAAACTAAAGTCCCATCGTTAGCTATTTTTAATTAGAGATGAGTTTTCCTTCATCAGTTTTGCAAATACTTTCACCCTTTTGCTTGGAGAGATTAAAACAATTTTGGCAGGTGAGTAAAGGATAACTGCTTCTTCACGATACATAGCATGGTAGGAGCGGGCAAGTAGATGCTTGAACCTTATCATAGACCATTAGAACTGGAAGGGACCTCAAGAGCTCATCAAGTCCAGTCCCCTGCCCTCACGGAAGGACCAAGCACTGTCTAGATCATCCCTGACAGGTGTCTGTCTAACTGTCTCTTAAATATCTCCAGTGATGGAGGCTTCACAACCTCCCTAGGCAATTTATTCCAGCACTCTCAAATCTCACAGATAATTTACTTATTTCCTTTATAGTATATAGGCACCTGCCTCCAGGTAAAAGCAATATTGTCCTATAGAGGCCAAAAACAAACAGATGTTCACTCCTTCCCCCCGTCCTCACATATCCTTGTTCAGACCTTGGAGGCAAACAGTTTGCCTCACTCTTTGTCCAAACCTTATAAATGCCACGTTTTTCTTCTCTTTGAACTCTCTCATCGCTTCGGCAGGAAAAGATTTGCTTTGGATTGGTCGGCAATAGCTATATGTTGTAATTGGCCCATGCGCCATTTATACCAATTTGATGTGAAAGCTTCTGCTTGAATTCGGAGGTTTCTGCCTCACAAAGTGCGCAGGACAACCTTCCACGCAGCCCAGGTTAGAGTTGGTAGGAGAACACATGGCCTGTAAGTAAAGTGAAAATTACAGGCGCTCGTGGTGAGGAGCTTGGTATGAAACAGGAGAATTAAAGCTTTTCGCCCATGCGCCATTTATACCAATTTGATGTGAAAGCTTCTGCTTGAATTCGGAGGTTTCTGCCTCACAAAGTGCGCAGGACAACCTTCCACGCAGCCCAGGTTAGAGTTGGTAGGAGAACACATGGCCTGTAAGTAAAGTGAAAATTACAGGCGCTCGTGGTGAGGAGCTTGGTATGAAACAGGAGAATTAAAGCTTTTCAAAGGATACAGCGGCGGATATAGGGCAGGGCGAGTGGGGCGGCTGCCCCAGGCCCTGCACTTTAATAGGCCCTGCGCCAGCGCCAGGGGTGGACTGTCCCGGCGGGATACTGGGAATTTCCCAGTGGGCTGTCCGCCAAAGGGCCGGTGGGCGGCTGCTGGAGGAGGAGGGGGATTGTGATGGGATGCTGCAGGCCCGCACTTTAAATTCCCCGGTGCTGGCCAGTACGGGCCATGTGGGGCCGAGAGAGCGCCTGCGCGGCGTGCTGAAATGCCGCACAACAGCTGAGAGGGGAGACACCCGGGCGTGGCGTGATGTCACCGCCCGGGACTTTAAAACCACATGGCCCAGCGTTGCACCGCTCGGTTCGGCACGTGGTCTGGAGCCTGGGCTGGGGTTGCGGCCGCCCTGCAAACTGGAAGGCAGAAGGTAGGGGCTTGTGCTGAGGGGAGAGGAGTGGGTCAGGAGAAGAAAGGGGAAGGCACCAAGGGGCAGTGTGGAGGAGAGACAAATGCCAGGGGGTCAAGTGGAGACAATGAGGAAAAGGACAGGAGGGGAGGTGTCAGTGGGAGGGGGACAGGGTGATGATGGGAGAGGAGAGGGTAAGGGCATTGGGGGCTAGAGGGGTGAGGGGAGGTGCTGGGAGAAGGCTAGGAAGAAGGGGTGGGTATGAGGAAGGCGGGGATGGAGCAAGTCATGTGAAAAAGGCACAGGGGCATGAGGGGAATGGGGGCAGAGTGGTGAGGGGATGGGCATCAGGGAAAAAGGGGGCAGGAGCAGTGAGGGAAGGGGGGCACCAGGAAAGTGCAGGGGTAAGGGAGGGTGCAGGTGCCAAGGGATTCTGGGGGTGAAGCAGAAGGACAGAAACCTGCAGGGGAGAGAACAGCACCAGAGGAGAGAGGCAGGGCAGGTGCATAGAGGAAGGTGTTAGGAGAGGGGGTAGCTCACCTGATCAGAGTGGGGCTACTGAAGGAGTGGGCACAGGGGGGATGCCTTTTTTCTATTTTTTCTATTTTTTCTCCAAAGGGGGCCCCGCGAAATTGCACTGCCCTGGCCCCGCAAAACTCTCATCCGCCCCTGCCAGTACAGAACACCTAGGAAGGGCCGATGGCGGTTCGTTAGATAGCATGCCCTCTCTGTTGGGCCAGTGGATCTGTATGCTACCTGGAGACACCAAACGGCTAGAGCAGCTGGCTTTTGGATGAGATGAAACCAATGGTCCTGTCCATTTGCTGCCGTTGAATATTTCTTGGTGCTCTTCGCAAGTAAAAGCCCGTAACCTTTAACTCTTATGGTAGTTCCAACTTGTGTAAATGCTTCTACCCCCCCATTATGGTAACATGTAAAAGCCATCACCAGAATTGGAACCCTAAAGAACTTACAACTCACACTCAGAAGGCAATGGAAGAACCCCAAGTGTATTTCAGAAATCTTACTTAAAGAAGCTCATTATTTTTGCAGCCTGACTTGTGGTTTGTTTTTTTTAAACATTTGGGGTTGGCAATTGCTGAAATGCTAGAACCAGTTATTACGAACACTCACTTTGAAGTGTTGGTGTGCGTGTATGTGTGTGCATATATGTTTCATGACAGTCCATGTTTGAAAATAACTTTTTAAAAGGAACTTGCATTATTTTTCCATTTGGCTGGCTTTTTGCCTTGCTATTCAGTTATGGATGGAAAGGGGTTTCAGTCATCCATGTCTTAGGATCTGTTCCCTTTATTTATCAAATATGAACAAAACTGATGAAAAATACCATTACTTTAAGCACTTAAGTGAAGTTCCCATCAGACCTCTTAGCTTTGCATTTCATTTGTGTTATTGTTGAATCATTGAAGGAAATATTTGAAAAGCTTGTGTACTTGTGAAAATGATTAGCCTGGGATTGTTTCCTGTATGTTTTCATTTATCTTTTTTTTTTCCCTTCAGAATTCTTCAAAGAACTGCTTGAAAATGCAGAGAAATCCTTGAACGACATGTTTTTGCGGACGTACGGTCGTTTGTACATGCAGAACTCTGAACTTTTTAAGGATCTCTTCATAGAGCTAAAGCGGTACTACGTGGGTGGGAACGTAAACCTGGAAGAGATGCTGAATGACTTCTGGGCGCGTCTCCTGGAGCGGATGTTTCGATTAGTGAACCCCCAGTACCAATTCACAGATGAATACCTTGAATGCGTCAGTAAGTACACAGAACAGCTGAAGCCATTTGGAGACGTACCACGGAAACTAAAACTACAAGTGACACGCGCGTTTGTGGCTGCTCGCACTTTTGCACAAGGCCTGGCAGTGGCAAGAGATGTCGTTACCAAAGTGTCTGCGGTGAGCTAAGTTTGATACCTACTTTCCTACTAAGTGCAGCTGGGTTGGCCGGTGGTGGAGAGTGACAGCGCTCAGAATGCCGCCAGGTCGGCAAAGCATTTAAGTGTGAACTTGACGTTAAGCCCATGATTAAATACTTTGCTGGCTCAGGTGTTTTATGGCAGGTAGAGGCTGAATCTGAGTCAAATGGTATCCCATTGTAGGGATATCGGATGCATGGCAGTAGATCTTCCACAATCGGGTAACTCAGGTTCCAATAACCAGGGCTTGACAAACTATACAATCACGGGCGAGTAGATTTCAGCCGCGCGCCCCGTTCATTTGCAGCATGCAAGCGGTTTTCGCCGCCGTTTGTCAAGTCCTGCCAATAACTCATGTTGTACTGTTAGCTTCTTGTTTGCACTCGGCAGCCCCTGCCTTAGGTTCCATATAAGAGGTTGTGCGGGTGGCAATTAAAATGCTTGCTTGAAACAAAATGATTTGTACAGTAAGCTTTCCAAACTACCGCCCCTTGCATCTCTCTGAAGCCTGACCTGTTGGTTTGAGTCAGTGTGACGTGGTGGAAGCAGCTAACAGATAGTATATGGAACACGGGTTTGCAAACTATGGGTTGTGACCCAGGGCTGGCTGGTGGAACGTCGGGCACTGGGTCTGATTGCTGCAGGGGGATCAAGTGTGTATGTGTGTCGGAGGGCGGAGGCTAAGTAAGTACCTGCCTGTCCTGGCACCGCAGACTGTGCTGCGTCACAGAAGCAGTTGCAGCCGGCCTGGCTCCTAGGTGGAGGGGGGTGCACAGGGCTTCCCACAATGCCCCTGCCCTGAGCGCTAGCTCTGCACTCCCATTGGCTGGGAACCTGCGGCTGGCTGTTTCTGGGGTGCAGCATGGTCTGCAGTGCCAGGAAAGGCAGGAAGTTGCCTTAGCCCCCCCACAGCACCACTGACCGAGAGCCGAATACCTTCACCCAAGTTGGAGTCCCCTCCTATGCCTCGAAGCTCTCATCCTCAGACCCACCTGGAGTCCACACTCTAGTCCAGTTTCCCAATTTTATTTGGCCCCGGAACCCTTTTCAGCTTAAAAGAATTTCAAGGAACCCCTAGGGTTGCCAGCGTAAAATTTGTCAAGAAAAAAAAAAAGCTACAAAATAGACTGTCTCTTTAAGAGGCGGCGGGGGAGTGCCGCGTTCTCGCGGAACCCTTACTTTCCCCGGGGTTCCGTGGCGCACTAGTTGGGAAACACTGCTCTAGTCACATTATGTTGTGAGGGGCATCACCAGTTTTCTTCAACTGTGAGGAACACACATTTGAAAACCGCTGGTCTAGAATATCATCAGGTTCAGTTCTCACTGGGTTTTTGTGGTCTCTTCCAGTTCAACATTTTCAAGATTTCAGGCATTTTAAGCATTTTTACACACCTGACTTTATTGTGTGAAGGTCGGACTTCTAGTTCTAGCTATTTATATTGTGACTAGGGATGTAAGAGTGTAGCCGTGATAAGCATGAGCCTATTGGTTATCCAAGCGGGTGCCAGTGTGCTGCAGGTACTTGTAATTTTTCAGCATTACATGGTTAGCCAATTACCTGCATTTTAACATCCTTGATTGTGACAGATCAGTAGCCGATGATTGAATAGGACTCCACTGTGGTAGGTACAGTGCAAACGAGATATGTGTTACTTTGAACTCCTCGAGCACAGTCTCTGAAGGACTGCTTCATGAAGAGTGAAATGAAAATGTAAACAAATTTGTTTGAATATATCTTGCACAAGAATTTTTTAATTAAATGTGGCATTTAATACTCGCAAACATTAAATGACTAAAGCAATTCAGTGATTACCTCCATCACCAGGGCTCGACAAATGCACTCGCCCGTGGCGAGTAGATTTTATCAGCTGGCGAGTGTAGGGGCGGACTGGCCCGGTGGGCGGTTGTGACGGGCTGGCCAAAGCCTACACTACAGGCAGCACGGCCCCATCCGATCCGCTGGCCGGGCGGAGGAGCGGAGCGCCGCCGGGAAGGGGGAAGCACAGTGATTCTCAGCGCCGGGGTGCCTGTGTGCAGCTCCGGCGCGAGGAGGCGGGGCACGAGCCAGGGGGTGGGACGCCGGCAGACACCAGGATGCTGGCGTGACATGGCCGCGCTGATTTTAAAGGGCTGCGGCAGCCCGGCTCTGACTGCGTGGCCCTGGAAGTTGGCTGCGGCACAGCCAGGCCCCACCCCACCGGCTCCAGTCCTGCCGTGGCCCCAACCTCCTCACCGGTGAGAGACCGCTCCCGGCCGACCACCCAGCACACTGCACCCGCCCCACGCCGCTTTGTCTCCACGCCGCCTGTTCCCCGTGCCACCCCTGAACCCCGGATCCCCTGCTCTCCCTCTTCCCTGCGACTCTCTGGCTCTGGGCCACCCTTGCACCCTTCTCCCCTCCGATCCCTGCCCCCCCCCAGCTCTGTGCTGCCCTCCAGCGGATCTACGTGGTTGCTAGGTGTGTGATCACAATCTTCTATTGGTTCCAGGGTTTTCTGAGGTAATTAGCTGTGTCAAGTTGTATAAACAATAGTATTGGCAAGAGAGCAACACTGACAAATTACACTAATGACCTCTTTCCTCTCATCAATAGGTCCTAAAAACTTAATTGGACGCATCTGAATTAACACTTCCAGGGTCTCCAACAGGTGAAGTGATTGATGAAGGGGTGGTAGCATCCTGCCAGCTGCCATTAGCCTGAAGGGGAGAAAAATCTATTGTCATTAAAAACTTAGGATATTATTTACATCAAATTTTCAGTAGAACAGTTCTGTGCTTATGGACATGAGGAATTAAACAAAATGGGGCACAGTGCAGACATGCTGCAAAATCTGCCCCTACATACGCCTCTTCTGGCCTAGTGCACCTTATCACCTGCACCATGCTGGCTGCTCTTCTACTCCAGAAGAAACTGATTGTAATGCACATGACTCAGACATAATACACCAACATTTCACTGGTGACTTATGCATCTCCAGAAGTGAAAGACCTCTTTGCCACATCAGGTCCCTTCTCTTACTTCCAGTAAAGACCATTCCAAACACGATTTAACACACAAAAACAGTTAAAGGGCAGGAGGGGAGGTGTCAATGGTAGAAGTTTGTTGTGCCTGGAAAGCAGTGTTTCAGATATGAATTTCTCATAAGCCGAGCAAAATGATAGTGCTAGGCTGAGTGTGCAGCTCAGCATGCTGTTTTCTTTAGAGCCCTGTGTATATTTTCCTAAAGCAGCACAGCTTTGACCAGCAGTCCCCAAACTTTTGAGTGTTGCACCCTTTCCCTTACTCCTGTTACTTACTTACACACACACACACACACACACACACACACACAGAGCCCTGGAGCCAGGGTTGGGAGTAGTGCCAGGGATAAAAGGTAAGTGGGCTGGAGCCAGGGGCCAAGGCTGTGCTGGGGGCTGATAGCTGGGCCAGTGACCAGCTTTGGGTCCATCCCCCATTTTGCCTACAGCCTTGTCCCCAGGCTAGGAAGAGAGCCACAGCCACAGTGGAGCTAGTGGAGGAGTGGGCACAGGGCGGAGAGAAGGGCTGGTGGTGGGAGGGCAGGTCTCAGGAAGGCCGAGGGCAGTGAGAAGGGCAGGAGTCAGGACAGCAGGGGTGGATGAGGGGTTGGGGGGAGGCAGGCACCAGGGGAGCTGATGGAGCAAGGGGAGGAGACATGGCAGCAGAGGGAAAAGGGAGAGGTTTATAAGATATTTATTAATAACTTGGGTGATATTTATTAATAACTTATTAGTAATTACTGTTCTTATTCTTATTAGGAATTTATGCTATTAAAAAAACACTTTTTGGAGGGGAGGCTGGCAAGTCCCTTTTTTGTCTGGTGAGTAGGGTTTTCCAGTATTTGTCGAGCCCTGTCCATCACTGTACATAAAATGCTTTGAAGTGGTGAAGGATGCTTTTTTATTGAATCTGACTTGTTAGAGGAACCTCGAAAGGTGATTGTTCATAACAACAAATACAGGTGATTTCAAGTTAAATGTAAATTTATTTCCTAGAGACTGGTAAATGTAATGTCAACACTTAAGCACACAGGGAAATTCTCTTCCCATCTACCTGGTTACAAAATGCCTAATAGACTGAAAGCCAATTAGGATACAAAGCAGGAAAGACAAGCTTGAACCACACTACAAGTGACAGAAATTTGTAAAGTCTCTTGAAATATCCTGTGGACTTGTTTAAAAGCACAAATATAATATTGGTGGCAACACAAATAAGATTCTGTAAAGGAAGGAATCATTCAAATTAGGGATGTAAAATCCTGATTCAGCACTTGACCGGTTAAACATTAGCCAGCTACAGCGGGATTCTGGCCCCCGTCCTGGGGGTGAGGCTGCGAGCGGCTCCCAGCCCCGCTGGGGCAGCCCTCCATCCATGGCAGGCTGTGGTTGGGGGGGGCTCTCCTGGACACTGGTTAATCAATGACCCGTTCACATCCCTAATTCAAATTGCTTTTACTTACAAGGACAATAGTAAGATACAGCTAGCCTAAAAGTCTCATTTTTTAAGTAAAAAAGTAAGTGTGTGTGTGTGTGTGTGTGTGTATAAAAGAAAGAGGAAAAAATGTTGGTAAGGGAACATCTTGTTTTCCAAGTTTCAGAGGGAGGTTATAAATAAATTACAAGCAGTTTTGCTTGTTTGGACATCTTGAACGTGTCTGTTTTTACAACCAGGTTAATACTGTATATAAATTTCCCCGTGGCATAAACCTTTTCTTTCATACTGGGGAAGCTTTGCTGTATGTAACTCCTACAGTATGCGGGCTCTTCTCAGTTGATGATAAATTACATGTGTTCATTGATGCGAGTCTGCATAGGAAATAAGCACTACCCAAGACCTCCCATAACCTCAGATGCAAAGTCCAAGTACTGGGTGGGAGGGGGAGACTGTATGTTGACCAGGTAAGATGGAAGGCAGGCTTGCAAGTCTGACGTGTGCACTGTTGGCTTGGGTTTCAGTTGCTG